AAAAGAACATCGGGAAGTCAAAAGACCAAATACCGAGTCAAAAGAATCACGGGGAACAAATCCCCGCACAACCAACATATGTACCCCACAGGTGGGCCCACGGGTGGACCCCCACCAAACCACGTTCTCCGCGGGTGGGGCGGCGGGTAGGCCACTGCTCGCCGTTCCGCCCGCGAGTACACCACCTGTACAAAAATAATCCCTTTGGGGATTTTCAACACCAAGCTCAATTTCAAGTCCAAAACATGTCAAATCTCACCAAACACAACAAAATGACTTGAATCAAAGGAATAGCCAAGCAATGGCATACAAGAACCCTAAACACAAGCTCTAGATATGCATTTTCACAAGACAATGCATAAACACTCACATTTCATAGCAAAACACATGTAGAATCCAAGAAATATTCATATAGGTAAGCAAAATAGATTTTGTAGAGCATGGGTTACCTCTTGTAGACCAAAAACCATCACTTAACACCACACCAAGCTCCTATCAAAGCTCACATTCCAAACCCACTTCAAGAACATACCAAAAGATCATAAAGATTCTATCTTTAAGAAAAGACACCTAAGAAAATACTAAAAAGACAAGTTGAACATGGATCTTACCCTCCTATATGCCCAAATGTATGAAAGCTAGAATCTTGGAGACAACTCTTGAAGTCTAGATAAAGCTTCAACTTGGCTTGGAAGAAAAGCTACCCACCTTTTTAGAGAGAAGGTGGAGCTAGGATTTTGGAAAGTGTAAGGATAGAAATGAGGATGTTCTTACTAGGTTAGGTTATAATACTAACACAAGGTGAAAGGTCAAGCATACCCTTACTAACATGGAAAGGTGTAAGGAACAAGGGAACTCCTTACAAAGCTCAAGGTACAACTTTGACTATGGGGTTGACTAGTCAATTACTAGTCCCCGACTATTGAATTTCAGGAATTTAAGGAATTAAATTACAAATTGAAATAGGAGTAGTTACTTAATTAATCCCTTAAACGAATTTGGATTTCGGGGTGTCACATTGATCTTGATAATCTTGATGATTATGAGAGGATCTTGATAATTGTGTTTTGATCTTGATAATCTTGATGTTCTTGATTTTAAAGAAAAATTATGATCTTGTGCTTTAAATATGATTAGAGCCCTAGGTTAAATCGAGGATTTCGTATTGTGATGTTCTTGGTATATTTGGGTGAGATTTTGCAGGTTCGGGTATTGAGTCTTGTTTACGTTTAGAAGTCATGTTAGGATGTATTTAATGTGATTCTTGGTTTTAACCCATTACTTGATTACGTGGTGTTATCGTTTGTGTTTAAATGTGTCTGGACATGGTTTCGGGTTCCATGAATGATCCCGGGACCAATTTATTACGGAAGAGTCAATGGGGGGTAAGTGGGGGTAGGGGAACCCGCCACCTTACGAAACCAGCGGGCAGCCGGCGGGCAAGCGACTGCCTGCCGGGCACTCGCTGCCTTATGCGTGCCGCCGGCGGGTGGAGGACCACCCGCTGGTTTTCCTAGTGTGGACTTTGTGGTTTTCCCCGTTTGATATTTTCCCGTGTTCCGTGGTGTCCCATTGGACCCCGTTTGTCGTGCCTAAGTCTAGTTTGATGTATCGGGTACCGTTCATAGGATAAAAGAGTCTTATGTATTGCATGCTAGTTGAATTGGTAACCCGTTGGCCTATGTGAAAGATGTATGAACCCCTTAGGAATATTCTTAGTATTTGGTTGACCACGCATAAGTTTTATATACACGTTTTCCCCATCCCTATGTGCTAATGTGGGTTGCATGTGCTTGCTATGTGTTATGTGTGCATGATACCCCAATTGGTTGCGATCAATTGGTTATACGGGCAGTTGGATGGGTTGAGAACCATCGGTTGTTAACCAGGCCGGTTGCGATCGGTCAGGTATATAAATATGTATAGGGTTGCGGTCCACCATTTGGTTGTGATCAAACATTATAAATGAGTTGCGGTTCATAATCTGGTTGCGATCAGAAATACACACTATTTGGGCTGCGGTCCAACGTTTGGTTGCGATCAAATGTTATAAATGAGCTGCGGTTCATCGGATGGTTGCGATCAACCCCATCATGCTGCGTTACGGGGCAGGGTGCTTCAGGGCCGTGTTAGCGCTATATGCGTTGACCCTCATGTATGGGCATGCGATTGGTCCTGCGGCACCACCATAGTGTGCTTGTGTGTTGAGATAATGATTGAATACTGATATGTTTGATGTGGTATAATCTCGTGACCTTAGGGAGCATGCTAGTATATTTGGCTTTCAGGCACAGATGAGTAGCTCCGGAGCGTGCTAGAGGACCCGAGGCTTAGATAGTTTGTTTCCTGATCGGCCTGCATGCCATGATGATGTAATGACACTGTTTTAGGGATAAGGGTTCATGGTCCATAGTGGACCATATTAATTAATTAAAGAGAATCCTAATCATAATCTGAATAGCAAAAGGCCTACTTCCTTTATTCCTAATAGGCTTAAGACTCTAATTTAGGCAAGGGTCCACGGTTCATGGTGGACCTTATTAATTAATTAAAGGGAAACCTAACCGGATTAAATCATATTTAATTATTATTAACGGGATTAATTAAACAATTAATCCGGGATTGAAGGCCGTAACACGGGGTGTTACATCTACCTATATTGTATTTTAACGCGTTGGAGTGGGTTACCAGCATTATTCGCTGAACAGATATATTTGGCTTTCAGGCACAGATGAGTAGCCCCGGAGCGTGCTAGAGGACCCGAGGCTTAGATAGTTAGTTTCCTTATCGGCTTGCATGCCATGATGATGTAATGACACTGTTTTGAGGATATTTAAATAGTGTAGCCTGTGCATCTGAGTTCCCCAGCTCAGATGTGGCATAACTCCCCAAACACTTATGTTTAGTAATGCTCTGTTTCGGGATTAATGATAGTATTGCCTTTATTTCATAAGTATTCAAAGTTTTAAATTTTAGGGGTGTTACACCAATGCTCTATGGCAACAAATGAATGTTTTAAGATCTTTACTCATGTATGACTGTACACCTAGCTGTTCGTGCACTCTCATGATTAGAATGCAAAAGCAGAGGGAAGAAGATTACATAATCAGGTTTTTGGAAGGCTTGAATGAAGACTATGAGACTATCAAGTCTGGAATTCTGGTTATGGACCCCATTCCAGATATGGAAAAGGTGTTGAATATGGCCCTGAAGCTTGAAAGAAAAATTAGGGGATCAATGATGTTAAAATGCAATGAAATTAATCAGTCCAATGCAGTTTTCAACAATCAGAATCAGGCTGAATCTGAAGAATCTGTTGTGGCAGTCACAGCATCAAACAATAGAAGGAAATTCACTAATAATGGAGGCAAGAATGTGCCTAAATGCACATTTTGTGGCATGCTTGGTCACACAATTGAGAAATTCTACAAGAAGCATGAGTACCCTCCGAGATGGGTTGCAGGCTACAAATCCAAAAATAAACATTCCAAGAAACACATCAGTCATCAAATGTTTCTGTGAGCCAAATAAATGACATATGTATGTCTACTGATCAATTCCAAAAGCTGTTATCTCTTTTGCAGAACCAGAGCCATGGAAATCAAGGCTCAAGTAGTGTAGCTGTGACAGTCACCACCCCTGGGATCAGATTAGACTTCAAAAGCTCTGCAGAAGTGCATGATGAAGGTATTTTTAATCATGACATCCTTGTTAATATTGTTCACAATTCACATATAGCATGGATACTGGACTCAGGGGCAATAGACCATATAATTTGTTCATTGGACTATTTTGAACAATGTTCTGAGGTTCAGGGATTATCTGTTAAATTACCAAATGGTGAAACTATAAATGTGACACACATAGGGAAAATCAGGCTTGGCAAGGACATATTGTTGACAAATGTGTTGTATATTTCATCCTTTTCCTTCAGTATTATTTCTGCTAGCAAATTAACCAAGCAGTCCGGATGCAAACTTGTGATAGAAGCTGATTCTTGAACTGTCCAGGGACATCTTGGAACAATGGCTGGTTTTGCTAGTGAGAGGAATGGTCTATACCTAATTACTGATCCTCCTGCCAAGAAGAAGCCAGTCAATGACTGAGAATAATGTTCAATGTAACAGTTTCACTATGGAACTTTGGCACAAAAGATTAGGACACTATCCTAGCAATAAAATTCCTATGTTGAATGGAATAAAGATTGATTCTAATAAGAAACTTGGTGATTTTGTATGTGATGCCTGTCATTTTGCTAAACACAAAAGGTCCACCTTCCCAGTTAGCATTTCCAGAACTGATCATTGTTTTGAGCTAATACATATGGATGTATGGGGCCCTTTGCTGTGGCATCTCTTCATTGATGATCACAGTAGATTTACTTGGTTGCATATGATGAAAAGTAAGTATGAAGTTAAGTCTATTTTCCAGAATTTCTACAATTTTGTGTGCACTCAATTTTCTGCTAAGATCAAAACTGTGAGAACTGATAATGGAACTGAGTTCCTATGCATTCCTTTTATAATGAGAAGGGAATTGTCCATCAGAAATCCTATGTTTACACACCCCCGTAAAATGGGGTGGCAGAAAGGAAGCATCAACATATCCTAAATGTGGCTTAGGGCTTTGAGATTTCTATCTGGTTTGCCTATGGAATTCTGGGACCATTGTGTTCTATATGTCTCTTATCTTATTAACAGGCTGCCCACTGAGGTGCTTAATGGAAATACTCCTTCCAAGGTGTTAACAGGGAAAAATATAGATTATGGCCAACTCAGAATTTTTGGCTGTTTGAGTTTTGGTACTACTGTTTCACAGTGAAGAAATAAAATGCAATCAAGAGCAAGGAAATGTCTTTTTCTGGGATTTCTAGCCAATGTGAAAGGTTTTATCTTATTTGATCTTGATGATAAAACTACTTTTGTGATAATGATGAGCTCAATCCATCCCTTCCCATGATTCCTATTTCTGCTGATGCATAGACACCTTCCTGGCAGACCATGAGAAGAAATGAAAATACTAGAGTTATGACAGATGCCATTAACAGAAGAACAGATGAGATTGAGAATTGCCATGACAGAAATTTTGACTATAATGCTGAGCCAATTAATCAGGCAGCCACTGATAGAGATGAACCATACAGTAACATGCCAAATGCCCTTCACATAGACATCAATGTTCCACAACAACATGATAGTCAACCAGAACCTAGAAGGTCAGCAAGGAAGAGCTATTCTTTCTAAACTGAGTGACTACTATTGCCATTCCATGGTGGGAGATAATCAACTTTGAGATCCTCTCCTCATCCCATATAGAATTTCATTTCCTGTGAGAACTTGCCCCCTAACAAAAAAATCCTATGTTTCATCTATTACTTCAACACATGAACCACAATCTTATCATGAAGCAGTACAACATAATGAGTTGAAAGAGGCCATGCAATATGAAATTGATGCCTTGATTCAGAACAACACATCGGCTCTAATAGATTTCCCTAAGGGAAAATCACCTATTGGTTGTAGATGGGTATACAAAGTAAAGCATAAGGCAGATGGAACCATAGAAAGATATAAAAGCCAGGTTAGTTGCTAATGGATACACTCAACAGTCAGGAGTTGATTACATTGACACTTTTCTCTTGTAGCAAGAACGATAACCATTAAAACCTTCCTAGCTGTGGCTGTTGCAAAGGGCTGGGATATTCAGCAGCTTGACATCAACAACGCCTTTCTACATGGTGACTTGAATGACGAAGTTTATATGGTCTTGCCCCAGGTTTTAAAAGTGATAGTCCCCAATCAAGTGTGTAAACTGTTAAGATCCCTATGTGGTTTAAAACAGGCTAGCAGGCAATGGAATGTAAAGTTAACAAAAGCTTTGCAAGCTCAAGGTTTTCAACAGTCCATAGATGATCCATCTTTGTTCACCAAAACTTCAGACAATTCTTTTGTTGGCATTACTTGTGTATGTTGATGATATATTGGTGGCAGGTACAGATCCTGATCAGATCAAAGGATTAAAGCATATGCTAGATACATCCTTCAAAATTAAAGATATTGGCAACCTGAATTATTTTCTGGGAATTGAAGCGTTCAGGAATCTTAATGGCATTAGTCTCTATCAAAGGAAGTATACTTTGTAAATATTGAAGGAAAATGGTTTCTTACATGCTAAACCTGCTAAAACTCCCTGCACTCCAGGCTCAAGACTCAACAATACTGAAGGCACACTACTAGACAATCCTGAAATCTTTAGAAGGTTAGTTGGGAAGCTACTCTATTTGACCAACACAAGGCCTGACATTTCTTACAGTGTTCAGCAGCTCAGCCAGTTTGTTAATTAATAAGCCAAGAGACTCACATTTAGCAGCAGCACATAGAATACTGAGATATCTCAAAGGTTCTACTGGAAAATGACTCTTCTATTCCTCAAAATCCAGCCTTAAACTATGAAGTCCATTGCAGGCTACTGTATTTACCTTGTGGAGTCCCTTATATCTTGGAAGACTAAGAAGTAAGCCACTATGTCCAGTTCCTTATCTGAAGCAAAATATAGGGCTTTGGCTTCCACTGTCTATGAGCTTCAGTGGCTGTTCTACTTGTTGGGCAAATTTGAAAACAGAAAACAAAAATCCCATTGCTCTATTTTGTGATAACAACTCAGCTGTGCTATAGGGGAAAATTATGTGTTCCATGAACGTACTATGCACATTGACATTGATTGCCATGTAGTGAGGCAAAAGGTGCAAGAAGAGTGGTGAAACTAGTGAGCATTCCTTCAAATAAACAACTAGCAGATGGATTCACTAAGGTTTTGCCTATCCCTTTGTTTGATATTTTTCATGCTAAGCTGGGCCTTCAGGATCTTCATGCTCCATCTTACCGGGGGTGGGGGTAGGGGGGTGTGACGAGCATAGCAGATGCACACGGCAGAACAGCTTGAGTTCTCTCATAGCTTTAAGGGCATTTGTGTCCTTTAGCATCAGTTAGTTATAACTGCCTTTCCCAGCAGTTTAGTTTAAAAGCTTTGTTTTTCCTTTTTTTTTTATGTAACAAAAACACTATGCTGATCTCTGTAAAACTTTGGAGCTTTCAATTGACCAGAATTTTCTTTCTTTCCTTAATGTGATGCTCCATAGCTCATCGAATTCCAACAAGAAACTGTCCCAAACTCCATTGCTGTACAAGAACCCCAGGGGACATATAACTTGGCATACTAGGAAATCCATGGCTCACAATTGCATTTCTATGGAGATTTACTTCAACAACATTGAACATTACAATGATGAGCATTCACTTGAAAAAACAAGTGCTCAACAAGCTTAATGATCTGTGGCCAATGCTATAATTTTCCTTCTTCACAAACTGTTACTCATAATTATATATATTTAAAAAAAAAAAAGAAGAAGCTAATTTGAAATCACTACAATTGATAACCCAAATAGAACTAGGAGGAACAACTTGGGCTAATAGCTTCGGTTTCTATTAAGTCATTTCAAATTTTCAATAACTTGTTTGCATAAATTATTACTAAAATAAGTTTTTATTGCAATTTGCTGAAAATGAAATATATTGTAGCTTACTTTTTACCTATGGCTAATAATCTAAGATAAATTGCGTATTAGGTATAAGCAATCCCAAAAAGTGTTAAGAAATAGTAGGTTGAAGCCACAAGATATTGGATTAAATCACAAAATATAAATAGCCTAGCTAGTACTAAATAATTTCTAATATGAGTAACTCAATAGTATTCACAGAGCATTGCAAATTATAACAAGAGCCACCTCTCCTTAGGCAATGGTGCAATCAGGCTTGCATGGAATGCTCTTAAGCTTGACCTCAATATTCAGCATCCTAGTGTGAATCACAAATTCACAATTGAACTAAATGTTCTATCATTTTCTGAACTGAATAGTCGAACTCATCGCATACAGATTGGCGGGAGCATAATTGACTGAAAGAGTAAATACAGGCGGAGTTCCTCTGACTGTTGGAAAAATAGCTTAAAATGGAATAAAACGGCATGTTAAATGGCATAAAACGGCATGTTAAGTGGCTATTTTGTGGTACAATTATCAGTGGGGTCCACTTCCGATTTGAGTCGGGTTAAAGTGGATTCGGATTCTTCGTAGTGAAGCGAAGAGATCGATATATTGTACGCTCAAAACGGATAATTGGTGAATGAGATTATTGATTCCCCAAAGTAGACCCATTTGAGTTGGAAAGTGAAGGAAAAAAGTGGCTTTTGTCCCACATTGCTTTGGAATGAAGATTTCCCCCCTTATATACAAGAGCTCTTTTGAAGCTTGTAGAATTGTATAGCATAGAGGCTTTTTTGCGGGTGGAGGGGGGGGGGGTGTGTAAATCAATTCCAACTAGCAGAGATTGCAAAAAGGCTTAATTCAAGCCTGAGCTCGTGCGCGCCCGGCACCTGGGGCACGAAATGTGCTAAGTTATGCCAAACTTTGTACCATTTTTCCAACACAGAGAGCCACGAGGTTTCGGCCACCTGAGGCCTTGGCCGAAACTTGCGAGTTTCGGCCTGGTGCCCGAAAGTTTGGCCTTTTTGTGGCTAAACTGAAGCTCCTTCTGTGACTGTTGGGGTTTTAAATTCAGCTGTTACGGAGTTAATTCTTTGGAATTAATTCCAATTTAATTTTGAATTAAAACTCAAGGTAGTGGTTGCTGTTACAAGAGTTGTGGGGGTGCTTTTTAATGCCAAAATAAAAGCTATTTAACTCCTTGATCCCTATATAAGAGAGGGTAGTGAGAAGCAGTTTTACACACAAAAAGAACAACAAGCACACTACACGAAACTTTGTTTTTCTAGCCTCAAAATTCTTCTTCTACTCTTTCTTTAGCTATACTGTGTTCATAGACATTCTCTGCTCGCCGGATTCTTTGTTTGAATGCTCAAACATTGGATCATAGCAAGTTTAATCCTGGGAAGCCTAGGCCACAACGCCTCCTAGCATCTTTGGAAGGTGGGCAAATAAGGTTTTAAGGAAAGAGTGCTTACTCGACTCTTGCAAAATTCCAACACCAAACACAACCAAATTTCTTCATCTTTTCTTCCCTCTTTCCAGAAAATAATAGTCAATTTTATTTGATTATTATTCGTTTTCCTACCAACGGTTCCAAACTTTAGTGGCACTGCCAATTTTATCCTCAACTTTTAAATCAACCACTTTTAGTCCTCTTACTTTTGTTTCTAGCCATCTATGGTCCTTTCGTTAAACTTGACCATCTAATGCTGTTTTCTAAAAGATAATTAAGTCTTTCATAATTAATTTATTAATTATTATGTTTAATTTTCACATCAGAATAGTCAAACAATGGTTTCCTTAACTATGAACGTGCACTAAACCAGCTCGTGAATCAAAATGACGTACAAAAGCTGGTATGAAGGTTGTGCCAAAACGACGTCGGAATATCTCGCTATGACTTAGCAAACACAATAATTAATAAATTAATTATGAAAGGACTGAATTATTCTTGAGAAAACGGCATTAGATGGTCAAGTTTAATGGAAGGACCATAGATGCTAGAAACAAAAAGTAGAGGATAAGAGTGATTGATTTAAAAGTTAAAGACTAAAAGTGGCGGTGCCACCAAAGTCAGAGGACCTCCGCTGGTATTTACTCTTAACTGAAAGTATAATTACCTGATCCACGACATAGAAAATCTCTCATGATAACGCTTTCCAACACTGATGATTTCCCAGAACTCTAATCAACAAACAAAAATTGAGAAAACAAACTCGCGTAGGAACGAAAATGTCCTTGAAGAAAAAGTGGAGATGTAGTGACCTGGCCTCTAACAATGGCGACTGAAAGAAGGGCTTCCAAAAGGGAGCCTTTGCCGCCGTGATCTCCCAAGACAGTGCAGGCTCGTTGGATTCTGGCAACCGGCGGTGATTAAGCTATGCTAGGAGCGACCGCGGAATCTACTCCCACGACGCGGCGGCGATGGAGCTGCGCGAGGACGGAAGATGGAGAGTGGCGTCAGCTATGGGTATTTGGTGGTTAGGTTTATGGAGATGGAGGATGGTCTCCACGGCGGGGCTGTGGGCGGCGACGGCAATGGAGCTGTGCGAGGACGGGGATATGGAGAGCGGCGGCGTTGGCAACAAGTTGTGGGTATTTGGTGGTTAGGTTTAGGAAGATGGAGGATGATGAAGACGACGGGGCTGTGGTTGAAAGGGTTTTTGTACAGAAAGCAAAAATAACACGCGCCCAAAGTTAGATACTTTGGATGCGTATTACTAAAATGCTTGAATATAGGCTTCCAAAGTATTTAGCTTTTGACGCTTATAGTGTTCTAATTTTTTTTTTTTTTAAAAAAGAGTAAATACCCAAATGGTCCCTCGACTATAGCTAAATTCACAAATTGATCCTCGACTTTTAATTTTAACCAATTAAGTCCTTAACTTTGCAATTTTAACACGATTTGGTCCTCCGCCTATTTGACCGTTTGTTGACTGTGATTTTTGAGGATATATATGTCCATCGTTGGTTTATTAAGGTTCCGGTTGCATTTCCAGACCGCACTATTACATTTAAATCTACCACTAAAAGCAATCTGCCAAATCCTGTCGCCTTTCTTCATCCTCCCTTTGGATTCAATGTAGTTGAGTTCGTACCAGAGCGAAAGTAGACGGTGTGTTTCCAAACTGGTGTAGTGTCATCCTAGAAGCGTCCACGTGCTCCAACGAGAGTTGCAGTTTCTTCTGGAGATCGTTGATGACGGCGCGACCGCCGCGTTGATGCAGAAGTGTTCGAATGCCTGTTTGAAGTCGGGAATGTAGGGTATCCATTTGGAATAAAGATTTTCCAGTCGATTAGGGTCAAGAGGAAGAGGATTTGCTCCAACGGCGGAAGAACTAGCGGGCCGATTGTGGTTATGTTGGATTTGAGGGCTTTGCGGCGATCACCATTAAGTCCTTTTAGAGGTTGATTCCGACTTTCCCTTGCGGATCTTCCTGCTCGTAACGCAGGTAGGCTTTATCGTCATCGTCCTTGTACGTGCGGACCACGTGTATGAGCCGTACTTGGCCCGACCCGAATCGGCTTCTTGTTGGACACGAGAATCACGGCGCCGCCCAGTAGACTCAGACACGGTTGTTTATGGCGTTGGACCTGATGAAGATTGAAAATTGGGATGTAGCGCCGGCAATGATGAATTATGCGAAGGTGTTTGGGCAGTGGATTGTGTCGTGGCAGTAGGTGAAGGCTAGGCGGTGGAGTGTGTCATGGCAGTAGATGAGGGCGACTTAAAGAAATAAACTTTGGACGCGTATTATTCGATTTTATTGATGTGTTTTGTACTAGTGAGTGTATCGATAAGAGTTTTAAGGTGCCCATTTTATTTTACTTGCTATCCATTGTATTCCATTGTTCTACCTTGTGAGTTCATTGTGTTGTTTTTTCCATCATTTTTTCCATGTGTTGACTTGTGATTCCACATTTGTTTTTATTTCATTTGTACATTGTGTGCCTTACTCCTATTCTTAAGTATTGAATTGAAATTTCATATGAACTAA